TCTTCAGACGACGCGCCTCTCTGCTGAGCGCGTCACACATCTCTCGGACTGTTTGCCATGAAGTCACACCGAGCATTCCACCAGCAATAGACCACCATTACATACAGAGGTGCGAACAAGACTTCAGTTGCCATGCAGTACAATACTAAAAGAAAAAAAGAGACAGCGGTTCGCGACTCCCAAGACTATTATTGCACATGGCAGGAGCGATGCACGCCACCCCACCACGCCCAGCGCCCGCGCCTTCCTCTCCTACTACTTGCCAATGGAAGCGGGGACGACCCTTCACCGCAAGCAGCACTCGCGTTCGAGATATGCACCATAACTCTGGCCCAACCGCGCATCCTTCTCCTCCTCTCAAACAACCTACTACGAGCAATGCAGCGACCACAACTGAAAACAAGCCCTCTCCGCCCCAAGCGTTCGCTACGCCATCTGTGAGACCTCCCCCCGCAGCAGACTTATACAAACCATTGACCTCGTTCCAGCGAGTAGGATTGTGGGACCCGTCATATGGGTTACGCTTTGCGACCACATCACAAGCAGAGATACGGCAGTCCGCTCCCGTTTCTTCAAGCACGAAACCCTTACCCCGACCCGAAGCCAGGTCACCAGAGTCGCCCCGTGCCGAAGACGATTCGATACATAGTGGTAGTGACTTGGGGCAAGATGCACAGTCCAGTACAGAAGATGGCGCCTGTCCAGCGGGAAGCCAGTCGTCGTATCACGTTGAGTCTACAGAAGAACCAGATTCCACAGACACGTACGAAGTTTCTTCGCAAGACGAGTCAGAGGCCGATGTCAGCGAAGAAGAGGAGTCAGATGCCGACGAGGACCTTGCCTACCAGATTCCAGAAGACACGTTACGTGCTGCAATGCTCGCTTCGCCCAAAACACGTGCAAGTTACTGGAGTGCGAAGCTGTACCAAAGCCCGGACGGTGATTCGCTTTCAATACACTATTGTAAATCTTTTGATGTTGCCGAGAGAGTTGCCCAGTACTTTTTGAAAGAGAAGGTTGTAGGCTTCGACGTCGAGTGGAAACCTTTTGGAAATCCGCATGCAATCAAACAAAACGCTTCATTGATCCAGCTTGCATGCGAGGATAGAATTGCGCTATTTCATATCTCGCTATTTTCTGGGTACAAGGTCGAACAGCTCATGCCACCCAGTCTAAAAGCCGTCTTGGAGTCACCAGATGTCATCAAAGTTGGGGTGGCTATCAAGGGTGATTTCAAACGTGTGGAAAGATACCTTGGAGTTCAGTCCCAGGGTGTCTTTGAGTTGAGTCGATTGCACAACCTCGTTGAATGGTATGAGGTTGATCCTAGCAAAGTCTCGAATAGACTGGTTAGTCTTGCTACCCAGGTGCTTCAACACCTGCAGTTGCCCTTGTACAAAGGTGAGCAACTAGAGGACGACGAAGACACGACGTCCAGTGTCCGGGAAAGCGATTGGAGCCTCCCATTGAATCTGCAACAAATTCACTACGCAGCTGCTGACGCGTACGCCGGATTCCGGCTTTACCACATATTGGAGCGGAAACGGACTCGGCTGACACCAACACCTCCACCGGTAATGCTTTGCGACTACGACAACAAGCCTGCCCCCCGCGCCAAAAAGCCACGTAAGAAAGCTGGAGCAACCACTAAGGGCAGAGAAGCTAGTGATAGCGACTCGAACTTATCAACAGATTATGCGGAAGAGGAGCAAGATAGTGATGAAAACACCCAAGGTTATGAAACAGCGCCAGAGGAACTCATGGATAGTCACGAACTCGAAGATCCTGCGCACACAACAACTCCAGCTGTTCGCCCAGTCAAAAAAGTCAAAAAACTTAAAGCCAGCCAGGCAGAGAACACCAAGCTAGACGAAGAGAGTAATCTGGAGTCTGGGAATGAGACTTCTTCCTCATCCAGACGTGTAGGACGGGTCAATATCTCGTCATTGAACACGGCTGATGTGGGCTACCCGGTATTACCACGACTATCGCAGGAGGACACTGAAGCATCTCAGCCTAGCGAAGTTTCAGCGGACGCCGATGACGAATACGCGGATGCAGAACTCGAAGAAGCGCTTGGAAACATGACGCTCGATGATGCTGGCAACTTGAGAGAGGACGTAGAGGTTGTCACTCCTGAGCAGACTGGTTCACCATATGGCTTAGCGACTGCGTGGGCGCAGAATTTTGCTCAATCTACTATTCCGCTACCCGAATCGCCGGCTCCCCCTCGCATCCACGCGACAGTTTCCCATCTCCGTGCCTATCATCTATGGCATCATCAAAAAATGTCAGTGGATGAGATTGCGCCATTGTTGCGGAACCCGCCACTCTCATACAGCACCGTCAGCAACTACATCCTGCAGGCAGTAACGCTGGAGAAACTTGAATACGAACAGGAGCTGCTTAAGAAGTTGATGCTGGGGATGCCTTTAGGTATGAGGAAGGGACGGTGGAAGGAGTTGGCGAAGGAGGTCGGGGCGTTGGGTTAGGTAGGCCTCGTTTTTGTTGTACTGTGCATGTACATACACACATAGTTTGTCCAGATGTTGCGACGAATGCCAAAATAGCTGTTGATCATGCACTCCTTTCTAGGCATGGTGTGTTGGCGAATTGCCAACTGTATGCCCAAGTGACATGCTGCACACACAGTAAGCGCAGAGGCATAATTGACACGTTTCGAGGCATCGTAACTTTGGCCTCGATTCAGGTACCGCATCGGTAAGCTCAGGGTCCAGGCGCCTGGCCAATGTCAGTCGAGCACCAGTCCCGCACCCCCGCATGCTGGCCTCGAAACTGCGGTGAGGATCACCCATCCCTGCAAGAAACCCCTCCAAATTGTATCGCGACCCTCGCTGCACTCCCCAGCATCGTACCGACTTTTTTTTGCCTCTTGTTGGTTACTCTGATCAAAAGACCTGGTCTTGACCCATCTCACTACACACAAGACTGCCTCTACATATTCATCATGGCAACTGCGGCCGCTGTATACCCTCCGCTTGACCAGCGCCCGGTCAAGAACACAGTTCTACTCTTCGATGTTGACGACACACTCACAAAGCCCCGTCAGGTGCGCTTACCCTCCAATCACACACTCTCTACCAACAGCTAACATGCCTGCAGCTGGTGAGCCCTGAGATGCTTCAATTGCTCTCGGAGCTCCGACACAAGGTTGCCATTGGCTTCGTTGGCGGCTCCAACCTGGCCAAGCAGCAGGAACAACTTGGAGGAGCAGTCGATGTCACATCGCTGTTCGACTACTGCTTTGCTGAGAACGGACTCACCGCTATCCGGATGGGCGAGACTCTAGCCAGTCAGAGCTTCATTGCCTGGATTGGTGAGGACAAGTATAAGGCGCTGACCAAGTGGTATGTCGAAGCCTGTGGGTTTACAAAGCATTGCTGACCCCAACCGGCAGGATCCTTCACTACATCGCCGATCTCGATATCCCCATCAAGCGTGGTACTTTTATCGAATTCCGCAACGGCATGATCAACGTTTCCCCCATCGGCCGTAACGCCTCGACTGAAGAGCGAAACGAGTACCAAAAGTACGACCTCGAACACAAGATTAGGGAGACCATGGTCGCAAAGCTCAAGGAAGCTTTCCCTGACTACGGCCTTACCTACTCTATCGGCGGTCAGATCTCGTTTGACGTTTTCCCTACGGGCTGGGACAAGACCTACTGCCTGCGACACATTGAGGCAGAGAAGGACATCTCAGGAATTACCTACGACAAGATCCATTTCTTCGGTGACAAGGCATACGAGGGCGGAAACGACTGGGAGATCTACAGCGATGAGCGTACCATCGGACACAAGGTCAAGAACCCAGACGATACCTACGCACAGTTACAGGAGCTGCTGAAAAGCTTTCAGTAGGCGTAGTTGCTTGTGGAAAATGACGATTTATCCGACCTTACTTTGGTCGACGAGTATGTTTATTTGCACCAGGTATCTGAGGAAGCACAGACAATGTGACAAGTTGGAAAAAGACATGACCCGAAAACATCTGATTAATAGCTCGGTATATCAACCAGGATCACTCTGGATCATGCTCCTGAGCAACTCTCCACGACCTCTTGTCTGCATGAAGGCTCATTTCCAAGATGCGTAATCATCGTAGTCGCCTCGGTTGGCTAAACCCTTCCCCATCAATAATACCAAGAGCTGAACAAGGCCCTGCATGTATGCACGTAATGATATACGAACTTCACCCACTTACAAAGCAACACTAAGCACCTGGTTCTTTCCCTTTTACAACCATACTACTTACCCGATAAGCCCCAGGTTCCACTTCCCGACCCTATCAACCTACATACCCTCTCGGTCTCCACGTTCTCAATCAACCCGAAACAAGATACCTGCCTATTTCTACCACCGACCACCCCCGCCCATTGGCTCCGCAACCCCAACTCGTTCACCTCCCCCATATCCTCTACTTCAACTATCAATTCCTCGGCGCATTCAAGCAATCCCAGCAATGGCGGCAACCTTTTTTTTGCCCCAACATTGCGGAGAAGAACCTGACTAGTTAAAATTGTGGTAGGGAATGCACGTACCGTAGTCCCTTGCAGATCTTGATTTCTTTTACCGCCCTCCACCAGTTAACCCGGCCAATAATAACACACTCCTGTGCGAGAGGGTTTGTGTAATGGCGCCAAGAAACTAGGTACGGTTTGTGCAAGACGAGAGATGTGGGGAGGTTCCGCCTTACCTACCTCCCCCGGCTAAAAACGTACATGTATGCAGGTCGTTGACTCGGCTGTTTTCTCTTGCCTTGAGAGGGATGGTACGCAGGGCGTTTTGATTTTTCTCGTATGTGATTGGGGGAAAGAGAGGAGGTGGCGAGATGATTGATTGCATCCGTATATATGAAGTTGGGCCTACAAAGTTTGCTACCCCAGGAAGTCCCTTTCTTTCTCCCTTGGAAGCCTTTGTTCCTGCTGTCCTTTTGTTTTTAAGCTTTTTGTTTGTTTGCTATTCAATCTTGCTCCAATCATGAAGTTTCGTGCGGCGTCTTACTTGCTCTTGCCTCCGCTCGTGCTCGCGTATCCTTCGTCTGGTCCGGTTTGTGCGTCTCCGCAGATAGCAACAGCAGGAGCAGACTCGTCGAATACGTATGATTACATTGTCACGGGTTCTGGGCCGGGAGGCGGGACGATTGCTACTAATCTTGCGCGCGCGGGTCACTCTGTGCTCTTGATTGAAGCGGGTTCGGATGCTTCGCTTGATATTCGGACTCAGATTCTCGCGCTGAATAGCTTTGGGAATACAGACGTCACGTGGCATTTCTTTGTCAAACATGGTGATGATGAGGAGAGGTTGAAGCGGTATAATCTGCTGGTTTGGAGACTGGCAAATGGAGAATGTGAGTGGTTTTTTTTCTGAGAGATGCTTGAGTGAAATGTGCTAATGTCAAAAAGACTGGGTTGGACGAGACCCAACGGTTGAGGGCCATGTTGGTGCTAAGAGACTCGGAATCTTCTATCCTCGCGGTGCGACACTTGGTGGAAGTGCCATTGTAAACGCGGCAGCAACCTTCTTGCCAAGTGAGAGTGACTGGGATATCTTTGACCAAGGAACCGAAGAAGACCTCTGGAGGTTGGTTTCCTTGCAATCGCAATGCTTGTGTATGTGTACTAACTGGGTTAGCGGCGATCTGATGCGCAAGTACTTTGAGAAGATCGAGCATAACAACTACCTTGAACCTGGCACCCCAGGCCATGGGTTCACGGGCTGGCTTCAGACAAACATAGCCGACCGTGCATCTCAGCAAATGGCTCCGCTTCGTCTCAAAATCTACGAAGCAGCTCTGAAGCTCATTGGCAGAGAACCAGAAAAGGTACTGGACTACATCACCAGCGATGGGAACTATCTCGACCCAGCCCGCGATCAAACTGAGGGATTGTGGGCTTTGCCTTTCCATGTCGGCCCGACATGGAGGCGCTTCAGTCCGCGTGATATCATTCTGCAGACGCGAAATGAGACAACTGCGAACGGCACGCAAAAGTATCCGCTCAATCTGCAGCTCGAATCCTTGGTCACCAAGGTGCTCTTCGATACCTGCGGTGGCAATGGCACAAAGCCACAAGCGGTGGGTGTCGAGTATCTGCAAGGCAAATCCGTATACAAAGCGGATCCACGACGGACTGCCAACACTACAGAAGGTGTCCTCAAGACAGCTTTTGCTCGCAAAGAAGTTATTGTCTCAGGCGGTGCATTCAACTCGCCCCAAATCCTTCAACTTTCTGGTGTCGGTCCCAAAGCCCTTCTTGAAAAGTACGGTATTCCAGTAGTCTCTGATCTGCCCGGCGTAGGCCGTAACCTCCAGGACAATTACGAAATACCAATGTATGGCGAGGCGCAGATCACCCTTACGGCCCCTCCTGACCCCAGTGCGCCAAACTGCACATATGGCGCACCTGGAGATCCATGCGTTGACCTTTGGCACAAGGGCGAGGGACCATATGCACGCGGTGGCGGCAACTCCAACGCCTTCCTGCTCAAGACGGCGCACGCCGTCGAAGATGAGCGTGACATGTTCATGTTTGGCTTCCCTGGCAGCGTCTTCCGTGGTTTCGCGCCCCCGACAAGTCAGAATCAGACGCGTGTTCCTCCGACAACCTTTTCTTGGTCTACGGTTAAGATGCACCCACAAAACACTGCAGGGTACATTCAGATCCAGTCTGCTGATCCCACAGAGCCCCCAGAGGTTAACCTGAACTACTTCGCCACTGGCGCGGAGACGGACATGAGCGCCATTCTGGATGCACTGGCATTTGTACGAAAGGCTTTTAGGACAACTGAGGGACCCGTTGGTCCTGTCACTTCAGTTTCCCCTCCTTGCCCTCCATCTGACATACTTGAGACTGGGTACTGTAAGGATCTGGAGATTGACAAGCAGTGGATCGAGGACCAAGTATTCGGCCATCACCCAACGAGCACCAACAAGGTGGGCCCAGACTCTGATCCATTAGCTGTGCTTGACTCCCGGTTGAGGGTCAAGGGCGTAGAAGGTCTGCGTGTTGTTGACGCAAGTGCTTTCCCGAGATGTCCGGGCGCATTTCCAGCAGTCTCCACGTTCCTGCTGAGTTCGAGGGCAACGGATCTAGTGTTGGAGGACGCTGCGAAGCGATAGTTCAAGCCATCTTGTATTGACATACTCTCGTAGTATAAGCTCAAGATATGCTCTTAATTCCCACGTCCCAATTAACTCATAATGAAATTTCCAAATTGATACTGCAAGAATTGTGCGCAACCTGAGAGTCTTCATTCCAAGAAAATGCCGTACCACTTCTGATTACATTCTCGAAAAGTAGTACAAAAAAGCTTTGATGCTCAGCAAAAATGCGCGAGAGAAAGAATGCAAGTAAGGTTGAGATTGAATACAATATGCATAACCCTAGGCCTCGTACTAGCGTTCTTTACCCCACCAACGACAGCCCGCCCGTTCCCCGATGCGCCAAAAATTATTCTGTCGCAGTCCTTGCCCGCAAACTGCGCGCATTCAACAAGGACTCCTCACAACCAGCAATCGTCACCCATACTATATCACACACTCTACCAAGATAAACACTCCCGAATTACTCGTCGCAAACTCCAACTCTCCTCACTCCAACAATCCAACGTATACGCGCACACAAAAGATGAAGCTCCTAACCCTCAACTTCCTCACCTGCGCCATCAAAGCCTGCAAAACGAACCCCGCATCTTTTCCCTTACACCCTCGCGACGCCGAGCTCGAAATCGTCGAAGCAGACGTAAACCTAGCGTTTCTGAAAAACATCCTACCCCGCATTCTATGGAATGAATTGAGGGTGGTATGCAGTGAGGTAAATACGACACAATCTTTCCCGATCCACTTTCCAAAACCCTTGCGCCTATACACACACCAGAAGACGAAAGCGGGAGAGAAGGGGGGAGGAGAAAAAAATTCCAAAAAAAGTAATTCATATGGTGAATACAATATGCTAACAATTTTATTCTTGGAAACCCACAGCTCGGTCTCCCTGAACTCCCACCCACAGCGCCCACACCCGCCGATCTCGTCGAGCCGTCATCATCTTCCGCAGCCGCACTAGATACCACCGACGCGACACCAGCTGCCGACGCACAAGAGGAGCAGGAGGAAGAACCAAGCCAAACGGCAAAGGATTTGCACAGGATACTGCTTGAGACGTGTATAAAAGAAGGGAAACTCGTGTGTGGAGCGTGCCAACACGAGTATGCGGTGAAAGAGGGTGTTGCGAATTTCTTGTTGCCGGGGCATTTGGTGTGAGAAAGGGATGAGATGAGAAGAGTAAACGTGAATTTTTTTTTTTAAAAAAAAAGGTAGATGCTAGGGAGCCAGCAAAGGTGTAGGATAGAGGCAAATACGGTGCTATGAGAAGGAAGCGGCGTTTGGGGATATGGGTCACCAAGCACTTTCCATGCGTCGCAGTAAAGGAAAATGATATAGAGGTGCGACTTCAAAGCAGATGTGGAGGGGGGGGGAAGAAAGAGTGGTTTGAAGGGAACCGAAACATTGCGACTTGATACCCTTTCATTTAAGCATAAGCACGTAGTAGGCGAAGGCGTCGCATTACAAGAGACAGAGAACTGAAGGATAACTCGCGATCCTTTTTGGTCCAGCTTTAAAAGCTATAACTTTTCTCTCTTCAGCCAAAAAATTGGTATCTAAAACATGCGCCCAAAACACCAGTTGCTGTTACCATATCTTTCTTTCTTTCTTTGTGCAATTGCAATTGCAGCTAGAGTCACACCCAGTCAGTCCCCCCCTCAAGACCCAATCGCACGGTTAATCTGTACCCGCTTGTCCTCAGCACCAGATACAATGCCCACCTGGCGATCCCAGCACACGCTGAAGACCTTTGCGCCCTCACCATGACTCTTGACATTCTCGCCATCCCGCGATTGCCTGTAAATCGTATATACGCTTTCGCCCGTCAAGCCCTCGCCGACCTGGCCACCCGCGCTGACGTTCCTAAGATCCCAAATCTGGACCGTACCGTCGTGAGACGCAGACACGAGATTGTGCTCAGACGACGGATCCGTGTCGAGGGATACAACGGCGTTCTTGTGGCCTCGCAGCGTCATGACGCTGATCTGGGTAGCCGAAGCGCGGGGGTCAACGAGAGTAATGTGGCGTGCCGAGGTACCGGTTGCGAGGAGATTTCGCGAAGGAATGGCGCACAAAGAGAGGAGCGAGTGGCCTGTTGTTCGCGTGTCAACGCATGTAGCGGTGGGCAGATCCCATGTCTTGAGCGTGTGGTCGTGCGAAGCAGAGTATGCGACTGTGGCGTCGTCTGGCTTGAAGATTACGCTAGAGACAGGAGAACTGTGACCGGTGAATGTTGCCAATGCGCCACGGGCAGGGACCGTACGATCTGGTTTCGAGAGTTTTTGGCGCTTGTTGGAAGCGGCTGTTGAGTTCGGGAGCAGGTTTGATGGTGCGATTGGGTTTTCCTTTGCGTTGCTCGAGAAAAGCGAAACTGTCGTGTCTGAAGATGCGGACAGGATCCGGTTTGAAGGTGCGTGGACTGCAACATCTTCTACGCCCCAGCGGTGGTTGAACAGTTCCAAGGCAGTCGTGATGGTCCGCGCATCGTCGTCGTATTTGTACACACGAACAGTGTTGTCCAAGCCAGCGGCCACCATCTTCTTCTCAGACAACCACTTTGCCGTCTTCAAGCTAGTGATTCGACCTCCATTGTTGGGCGCCTCGGACATCGCCAAAACGTCGCCTGATGTGTTCCATACTCTCAGAAGACCGTCGTAACTTGCGCTCAGTATCCTCTCTTGTCCACTCTGTACTCCCGATAAAACATCAACTGCAGAAACCCAATCGTCATGTTCGAAACTCGTCACATTCAGTGGCGGTACCAGCGCCCTAGTGTATTCTACATCGAGCGTTGCTTCGGCATTAATACCATTCTTGGTGAGAAACTGGTCGATGGTTGTGCGGAGGAATTCGCCATTGATGAGGATATCGAACGGAATGCGATTTTCATCCCCGCGATGTAAGAGCTCGTTTACAAGAGTCGAAAGCTTGTGGCGTGTTAAGGCTACAGGCGCATGCTGTTAGCACAGTATATGAGAATGGGTAGTTGAGACTTGCGCAGCATATTGCGACTATGCTTCAATTGCACAAATTTGCGATATGCTGCGACACAAGAGTGCGCAGATTATCATCATCTCCCGCGACTGTACTTACATGTTTGTACAAGCAAAGTACTAGGCTCTTCTGAAATTTGCAGGCTAGAATCGCGCGTAGTGAGGCGAATCTGCACCTTGGTCTCTGCGGCTTCGGTATCCATGGCGTCGTTATGTGGTGGTTTCTTTGTCGAAAAGTGGTGTGCAAGTGACGACGGATTCTGGAAGCTTTGGAAATTTTGGGATCTCGAACTTTTTCCGAAGGAGGTTAGCGCAAAAATACCAGCCAGTCGGCGTTCGCGAACCTCCGGCAATCTGAGATGTTGCTCACTGGACTTGTTCAATAAAATGGTTGGCGTATTATGAATAGACTTCCAGAATGCTCAGGAATAGTTTGATTCCATAGAAATTGGGTTCAATATTAATATGAAGGTGAGTAAACACTTGATATTTCGGTACGACTGGCTTCTCTTCATTGCACACTGGTCCTCCTGATCTCAGCAATTGCTCTCCTCCGATGATCACTTGGTGCGAACAACGCCTCAATCAAGCCTATCACCTCCTCGGCCTCCATTTCTAGTTTCAGTTCTCCGTCTGTCCAGAAGTACTTGATATCTGCGAGGCTGCTGTCCAGAATCTCGCTGAGATACTGGAACTTGAACCAGTTAGGTGTATATACGCCAGCCATGTCTCTGATTTCTCCATTATCGTCCTCTGTCTGGAAGTGTTGTGCGAGTGTAGAAAGCGAGACACAGTACCCATGTAGTTTTCGAGACTCGTCTTCAGCAATATCTGCTTTGTCCTCTACGTCATTCACAAACTTTGTAAGGGCCGCCGATACTAATGAGCCAAGGGACTGGAGTAAAGCGCTCTTTGAGAGGACGTTTTGCCATTGACGCTTCACGTCTCCTATCCTGTCAATGGTTGTGGCAATAGCATCGTCACATACTGTGGCGAAAGGAACATTGGTGCAATCCTGAAAGCCTTGGGCATCCTCCAAGTGGTCCCTTATTATTTGTCGTTGCGATTCCATCTCGCGGCCGTACGCACGTTTGCCGAATCCATCAATGGTTTTGATGTCAGCCTCTAACAATGGCTTTAAGCGTTTTGAGGGCCGAAGATGTTGCGGTAAAGTAGATGATGTGTCCCTTTCCGCTTGTTCTTGTAAGAAGAGCCGCAGCCGATCGGATAATCGTTGACAATCATTGTAGATGAGCATGTTACTCGCAACGTCCTTGGTGTAATGCATAACGGCAGTGGCTCGGTACATTGCAAGTAGTAGACTTGGTATTGCGTACAAGCCTCCACTTGCAGGTGAAATGGCTGATTTGACGAGATCAGCCGAATTGAGAGCCTCTACATCTCTGAGAACCTGCAAAATGATGTCCATGATCGCATCAGGAATTGCTGTCACGGTGTATGTTTCTCTCAGTGTGACCTTCTGGTTCGTCGGCGCCTTTTGCTGGGCTGATTTCTTTTTCGAATTTGGTGATTCTGTTGCTTTGGCTGTGGGATTCGGCGTGGCAGTTGGCTTTGTGTCGGTTTCGTCGTCCCAATCTGCACCCCAATCTTCGGCATCTTCAACATCGGAGGGCTTCTCCTTAGATACTTCTTCCTTGGGCTCCTCATCAGGTATATCAACTTCCTCACCCCACGCACTCATGTCTTCTTCTTCTACCGACACTGTTTGCTCCTTAGTCGTCTCATCCTCACCCTCACCATCCCATTCTGCTGCCCAGTCGTCTTCCTGGTCATCACCAGCATGTAAGGCATCTCCCTTGGATACGATCTGTGTCTCAACCCTCTCCACGGCCTTTTTCTCTAGCACCTTCTTTGGAATCATGGCTTGGACTTGAGCGATGGCGGCTTCTTTCTGCCTGGCCAACCAAAGTTCGGGGGACTTGTCGACCCATTCTGTCAGACGGCTCTGACCAGACCACCCCAGCTCATCCAGAAATTCCACAAGCCCTAAGACATAAGAGAGCG